CAGTCAGATGCATGCATCCAGGTCAAGGCGTAATTGCAGTCAGATACAGTTAAAAAAAATTGCTAGTGTGAATATGTCTCCGGTGCTCGCCAATTCTGAAGTTCTTTCTCAAAATGGAACGACACTTTCCTGAAAAGGAAAGGTGTTGCATGTGGTGAAAGACCGACTCCACAGATTAGAGGGGGAGTATATTCGACATCCTTTCTTTTTTTTTTTTTTTTTTTTTTTGAAGCAAGCTTACATTCTTCTCTCAATTTCACCTCTCACACTACCTACCTACCTACCACTACTGCTAATTGTAGGCATACGGGGAACCCCGTAGCAGCCAGAACCATGTTCACGAGAGAACATGTGCGGGCTGCTGCTCCTAACCTGCAGGTCGGCGATACCGGCAAGGGGACAGCTGGTAGCATCAGGGACCATGCCAACATGACTCATAAATTCCTCAGGTGGTGGTCCCCCCTCCCCTCAGGTGGTGGTCCCCCCTCCCCTACGAACATCAGCAGAGTCTGCTCAATGCAGATGGGGGGATCCAGAGGTATATCTCTAGGAGGCGGGCGCCAAGTATGCCCAGGAAGGTACATGAGGCCAATGGGGATTGAACCCACGACCTCCCGAATGCCACTTGCGAGCCTTACCAACTGAGATAGGCCGCTGGATATATTAGACATCTTTTTTAAAAAAAAATTCACATTCGACATCTCTTACCCCTCCCAGATCCCTCCCAAAATTTCAAAAAATAAATAAATAATAATAAATCAGTTCTTTGTGTCTATATGAAGAAAAACGTGTGAAGCCCATTCTATCATCTTCACCCGAAGAAAATGCCTGGTCATCATCACTGCATCTGGACTAGAAGTTGCCCCAAATACAGCTAACCGGGCATTCTATTCGGGTGAAGATGGTAGGGGTGCAGATTCCACAGAATGAAGACATGCTACATAAAGGTGAAAGAGAAGGCAAAAAAACAAAAAAAAAAAACGAAAAAACAAAAAAACAAAAAACCAACCAACCAACCAAACAAACAAAACAAAACAAACAAACAAACAAACAAACAAACAAACAAAAAAGAACAGGGCTTACGACAACAGGTCTCTCCAGCACTAATCTTCGAGAATTCGTTTGTCTACTACCCCCCATCATAGTGTCATCAGACGAAGGGGGGGGGGAGGGGAGGGGGATTTCCTTTCGGCTTTGCTCCAGTGCATTAGACATACATCTCCCGTGTGCCAGGACGTCATCCCGGCCATTGATGTACCAAATCTACGGCAGGTGACAGAACAAATCAAATCTACGGCCATATCACTCGCATCTAGTGCAGTTCGTCTTCTGTGAAATACACCGGCTCCTCTCCAAGATACAGTACACAACCCTGAACCAAAAAGCGTATCCAAAATCCATAACTCTCTCTCTCTCTCTCTCTCTCTCTCTCTCTCTC